AACGAAATCCAGTTTCTGAGAATATGCAACCTCCGAATATGCCTAACGCAATATTGGTAGGCTTCGCAAGATTTCGGTTTTCAAAAAAAAAAAAATACTTTGCGAGATAGAATGGAAATTCGATTTTCAGAAAAGAATAATTTCAGTTTCCGAGAATATGACCACTTCTATCGTTATCCCAATATGCCTAGAGAACGAAAATACTAACTTCAGAAATTTCAGCTATGTATGCGAAATATCAGAGAAATGAAATGCTACTATCGGGGATTTTCAGACAAAACGAAATGCGATTTATCAGAAATTTTCAGATATTTGCTACGTAAAAACGAACTACTAATATCAGAAATTTTCAGGTAAAACGAAATGCGAATATCAGAAATTTCAGATAGTTGTTGCGAGAATTTTTTTTTTTCAGAGATTTGACGAAGTCCTACTTGCGTTACTAACGAGTGATCAATAGATCGCAAGCTGGCTACTTGATTGAGCGGGTCCTCTGAATGAGAGGTCCGCTCCGATACCAAACTGTTGCATACTGTAACGTGCAGACCAGAACAAGAACCGACCTTTCAATACAAAGTATAAGATAGCTCCGATACCAAACTGTTGCATACTGTAACGTGCAGACCAGAACAAGAACCGACCTCTCCATACAAAGTACAAGATAACACAGCGGAAGACTTAGGTACGAATGATCCGAACAATCAATAATGCAATGCAGCCCTGAACACACATCATCATCATTGTTATCTGGTGTGAAGGGGGTCTGGCGCTTCACACAAGAAGACTGCGCCAGCCCCAACCATACACAGACGAAGAAGGAGGGGTTAGACGAAAGAGGAGGGGAAGATGGGAATGTCGTCAACACCAAGTCTTGGTACAGGCCCAAATAGTCCCTCGTCGAAATGTCTGAATCCCAGTGTCCAGTCTGGATCCAATGTCGTCAAGTCTCAAGTCACAACTCTTTCTCTCTCTGTCGTAGTCTGAGAAGTCAGGTGGCGCGAGGGTGAGAAGAGACGGTGGACTTAGAAGAGGAAGAAAAAGAACTCTCTCTCTCTCTTTCTCTCTGTGTCCAGTACTAACCTGTGAAGTTGGCGCCTTGATGCAGGTACCACGAAGATGGAGCTGGAGCGATGGCGCCACAGGTAAGTTCCACTGGCCTCCGCCAGTATCTCTCCCAGCTCTACTATCTACCACCTATCATAGCGCCCAGCGCTGAAGACTACCTCTATGGCTATGGGCGCCCAGCGCCGAAGACTACAGCTAGCGCTAACTGCTACCTAGCTCTGAAGACTACTGCAGCACTCCTCCTGAGTGCTGCGGCCGAATCCTGAAGACTACCAGTGCCTACTGAAACTACCTCCCCGTGAAGTGCCTGGGAAGCCCTATGAACTACCCGGGTGCCTCCTGACTGCAGGCGAGCAGTCCAGGAGGCTGCTCTTGCCAATGCCGATCGGAGGCAGGGGCTGCCGCTGCAGCTCCTGCTCAACTCGTGAGGAACAGGCTATTTCTGGCCTGTTCCGCATCCCTGTTTACGTGCCTGAGTCTGAGGGGCCGTTGAAACAATGAGGGCCTGAAAATGGCCTTCCGTTTCAGGCTGGAAAACCTCTGGGTCTGAAAGACCCAGAAATACTCTGAAACGGAGTAGGGCCTGCAGGCCCTCGTTTTTCAGCTTTCAGGCTGAAACGACGGGGGCCTGTAAGCCCTAAGTTTTAGGCTTTTAGGCTGAATGTCCGGGACGGGCCCTGCAGGGCCCGTGTGGCTAGGCAGTATGCCACAGAGATCGTCCGTTCAATTTACCTGTATCTTCCCAGAACTTGAGGCTTTGTACATTCCTGACAAAAGTAAACAAGAACAACAGCAACAAAAAGGAGAGCGGATTACGGTCCGATTACCCCTTTTTTGGAAAAAGAACAGCCCCCAGAAGAAGAGGCACCTGCATCGTCTGCACCTGTTTCTCTCAGCCCACCACTTGGTGGGGCCCACTTGTTCTATTTTCCGTTTTGTCTGGTGGCCGTTGGGAGAAAGCCAACGGCCACAAATTTCATGAGTGCTGCCCTAATTATGGGCATCGCTGCTCTGCACAGCACTCTACATGCATTTGGCCGCTTTTTTGTAGTGCAGCGAGGCCCTATGCCACTTCAGCACATCCGTCAAAATTGGGACAATGCATAAGAGTTTTTATTTTTGGGGGGGGGATACAGAGAAGATTAGCATGGCCCCTGTGCAAGTTGTAAAAGTGAAAGACGGCCCCATGGCATATTCAGCCGTTTGTGGTACAACCATGAACTGTCTCTATGCACACCTGATCGAGCATCCCCCCCCATCCCCCGGAAAATATTGCAATCCGGACAGCAATCCCGACAGGGCATCCAGACATGTCTGTATTTTCCGGAATTCCGGATATCCGAACGTGCGGATGTAGCCGGCGGGTCCGGCATCCGGTGTCCGGATCTGGTCTGGCGTAGCTATGGTATAAACCCCAGTTTGTGATGAAGATGATCACGATGCAGGCTTCCCAGTTTGTGATGAAGCAGCACTTTTTTATTTATTAGACTGGAAAATGGGTCCGGTGTCCCTTGCATTCAAAACCCACATACTATGCTTCCCTTCGTTATTGGCCTTATGCCCAACGTATCCTGAGGCAGCGGAATTAATTAGTTCCCTTTTCCATGATTAACGATACCGTTATCGTTTTGTTCTTTCTCCCCCCAACTCATTCGCACCATTTCTCGATTTATGCATGTCACCCTTGCGCAGGGGCCATGCTAATGCTGTTCTCTTCTCTGTATCATTCCTATTTTAACAGATGTTGGGAAGGCCTAATCACGATACCTTTTGGATGAGAGGAAAAGTCGAAAAATAAGAAAACACAGCATGATAATGAGGATCCACGAATCGTCATTTTCAAAAAGGCGGAACTGTTCTGGTGGTGGTGATGATGATGTCGATGACGATCGTGGTGATGGCAACAAAGAAGGTGATGATGATGATTCCAAAGGTCTTTTTGCAATCGTCAAATCCTTAAACAAACAACAACGAGTGTTGACACTGTTGAGACTTTGTTGTTCTCTTTTGCTGAGTGCTGTCAGGACTATAGTGGAGCTCTCCTTATCGTGTGAGAAAGCATGATCATGATGAAAGCCATGGCCATGAAGAACATGGAAGCTTTGTCTAACAAAATGGCCATGATTATGATGATTGAATCGTGATTCATCGCGATCGTGATTTCCTTTGTTCTGTTTTCGCAGCGAAGAAAAGCTTGACTTCCACAGTTAACAAAAGCAAAAGCTGTGTAAATACACTAATGCAAGCGTTCCTCGTTCATCCGCTTTCCCCGTCTTCTCCTTCCTTCATTCTCCCACCCCTTCTGCCCTTTTTCCTTCCTCGCTCCCAAAGCAACACTGAACTCCCCCCCCCTCCCCCTTCCCCCTCCCCCCCTCGCTTCCACTTCTTAGTTTGAAGGTGATCCAAGTGGCCTGGGAACACCCGATCTTTGCAAGGAGCATCTGCAATGCAGGCAGTGGGGTCTGTTTCCCGGAAGCGCTCCCAAGGTCGATCACTCTTTTTCTTCTCCTTAGCCTATGACTCTCACTTCTTCCCGACCCTTCGGCCCCCGGTTCATACCCGACTTTTTTTTTTCAGATAGGGGGCAATGGCCTAGGAGCCCCTAATTGGTAAATGAATGAACTTGTATATCCAGGATTCGAAGTCAGCATCTGTTTGTTAAGACTCAGTGTGCTCTCCACCCCCTCCCTTCCTTCTCTCCTTAGCCCTTTGCTGGTTCTGACAGTCACCAAATGGTCATGGAATGTGTTTGTTTGCAGGACAACCTGGTGCCCTCTGCTGATGCATTCCCATCAGGGATCAAGAGTCTTGCTGATTATGTCCACAACAAGGGCCTGAAATTGGGCATTTACTCTGATGCAGGGTGTGTATAACTGGCAGTCGTGATGAAGAGGACTGATGGTACTTTTCGCGTGTTTTTTTTTTTTTTGCTGTTGTTGTTGTGTCGCTTTTTTGCCCCCTCTCGTCCACCAGTCATTCATTGATCCTTTCTCCTGTGCTTTCATGTGTCTGTCTTCCCCTGCATGTGTCTGTCGTACACTCCTCACTGCCTTGCGCGCCCAACCTCCGTTCACCCCCGTTCACCCCCGTTCACTCCTCGCAGACGACAATGCCCCTCTGCGTGATGCGCTTTCCCCCGCCGTCGCCACGGCCATCAACCTGCGCCAGCCAGCCTTACCATCAAGCACCCCCGCCAGCCATCAACCGCAAGCCAGCCTCACCGTCAAGACCCCCGCCGACAAGCCAGGCGAGTGCCCCGTGTGAAGAAGGTTTGTGGGCCCCTGTGCTTCTTGCAATCAGACTCGTCTTCTTCACTTCTCAGCATGCATGAAAACAGATGGCAATCCACACTGGCGCCAGGCGCCCACACAAAGCTCAGAGATATCGAGGTCAAGAACACAGTTCAGATTCAAACTTGCTTTGAATGGCTATGGCGCCTGTGCGCCCTCACATCCCTCTTCCGACACTGTATCCTCAACAACTGTTCACACGCACACTACTCTGGATCTCCCTGGATGTCCCACACACACACACACTTCACTGAACACTCACACACACTCGCTATAGTCTATCTCTAACTTACGGCAGCTATGGCTGCGTTCTACCTCTACCACTAACTAGCGCCTATGGCTGCTTCATCTCCTTCCAGCCCACTTCTTCCTCGGGCACCTGCAGACCTCCTTTGTGACGGGGCTGAGGCAACGAGGCTGGGAGAGAGAGGGAGAGAGTGAGAGCACACACACACACTCACTCAACTCGACGCAGACTCGACACGGCTCGACGGACGCAGACACGAAGTGGCAAAGTCGCAAAGTCGAAGTCTTGGATTTCCGAACACAATGTCGAAGCAAGTCACCGAAGCACAAGTACAGCAGCAGAAAACTGGTACGAGACCGGTCCCCGTACTGTACGGGGAGCCGGTATAAGTACCGGTGACACGTACGGTACCAGGGGCATTTCTGCACAGGCCCCGAGGGCAGAACTGAAAAATGCGGTATTTGAAAGTGGCGCCCGAATTGCAGCATGGCGCCAGTTGTCCAAAATCCTACGGCACCAAAGGAGGGGTTTGGAAAAAGGGTGCCAGGCCAAAAACGGGATGCAGCCGAAACAGCAAAAGGATAGACCAGGGATCGAGCCCTGGCGGAGTCCGTAACACTATCCCCTCCCTCTAGAAGGCAACATCCCGGCTGCCAAAAATCATGAAGCAATGCTGAAACCTGTGAAGGACGGGACGGAGCCGATCACTTGTTAACAAGTCGAAAGGGAAGAGGGGTATAATGTGGGTGGCATGGGCTGCGGGGGTAAGAGGGAACAGGGTTTGGTGCTGGTGAACAGGGTTGTCCTACTGATGAACTAGGGGGGGTTGCACGGGACAGGGTAGTCCTACAAATGAACTAAAGGGACGGCAGGGAGCAGGGTAGTCCTACTGATGGACTAAGGGGACCGCATGGTTTGCTATAGGTCACGGGGGAACACGGTTCAGGGAACAGGGAACTTCTATTGATGTTCTACTGGGTAAGGGAAACGGTGTTCAGGAAACCAGGGTATTTCTATTGATGTTCTAGTGGGTAAGGGAAACAATGGTCAGGGGGAACAGGGAATGCCTATTGGTGTTCTAGTGGGTACGGGGAACAATGGTTAGGGAAACAGGGATCTGCTAATGATGTTCTACAGTGTTGTCATGGTTTGCTATAGGTCACGGGGGAACACGGTTCAGGGAACAGGGAACTTCTATTGATGTTCTACTGGGTAAGGGAAACGGCGTTCAGGAAAACAGGGTATTTCTATTGATGTTCTAGTGGGTAAGGGAAACAATGGTCAGGGGGAACAGGGAATGCCTATTGATGTTCTAGTGGGTACGGGGAACAATGGTTAGG